AATAATAATTCCATCTTCTACCCATTTGTCTAACTCATCATTTATTTCCTTTTTCCATTCGAAAGGAACTCTTCTACAAGCCAAAAGAAAATGAGTGAAAAACCCTCTTTAAGTCTAACGTCTTCTTGATAATTATTTAAACGTCCAACTTTTCTTCAAAAATTATATCATATTTTTTAATTAACAAAGGTATAGCATGATTAATTTTATTTAATTCATTGGTTTCAAAATTTATCAATTGATCTTTATCAATTTCACTATTTATTTTGGAGTTATTTGATTCTGTATTTTTCTCAATATTCAATAAAATTATTATTAACGACAGGCTTTTTTCCTTCGTTCAATAAACTAAACATTTCTCTTTCTTGAAGTTTATTTCGGATGCTATCCGCAATTAATTTTCTTTCAGCATTATCTTTAGCCAATTCACTATCAATAATGAAAAAATCCGAATAATTATTACGAGGTTCAATTTGATAATCCAATCCCACCCCATAATTGTTTCCACATTTTTCTCTACTATCCATAAATCAAAACTTATGGTAGTATCATTAAAAACAGCATCCCATTGAGTTTTACCCAAAACTTCAATTTCAGAACCATCAAACTATTTAAAACACATATTTTTTTTTATAATAATACCATTAAGTCAATATTTATAAAAAAATTCCAGAGACATTATTGAAATGCTCGCTCCAGTGTCGAACAACATATCAATGTACCTATAGTCAATTCTTAATTTAACCCTAGGACATTGACATGGTTTACTTATTCTTTCAGTCATTAAAATTTCACATGTTTTAATAGGCTGATTATTATTTATTCTATTTGAAATTTCCTGGATAACCACTACTGATCTCTCTGCACATTCTTGAATATTACGAGAATTATCTGACACCACCGTGTCTTTTTTCAAATGAATATATACCTTTCACTACAAAGGTACATTTCTTTAGTAAAAATTTTACTATAATAAGTAACCCATATATTAGGACCCATAATAATATTGTCACTAACTAATTATTTATATCGAATTTATCAATATTTTTATATAACATTTGATAACTAATATTCTTAAATCGGAAATTTTATCAAATAGGCTAGGCTCACTATCAAAATTAAGTAAAAAGCTCATTTCATTATATAAAAATTTATCTTACTTTAAAATTGCCGTGTTATAAAAAAAAATTTAAATATTAAAAAAAATTTTTTGTTACTTTATACAACCGATTTAATCTAAAAATTTTATCTTACAAAATTTTAAATTACTTTACAGATTAATTCCAAAAATATTTACAAAGAAAATTGCGTTGAGTATACATTAAATTAAATATAAGACAAAAAAAATTTAACTTTTTATCCCAATTAGAATAATTTTATAGGACTCTTTCTTATAGGTTTGTCTTTTAAATATTTAACTTAACCAGAAATCAGACACTGGTCTTCACGGTCAACAATTTAAAAGTTATATTAAAAATTCTCCCAAAAACTTAATCAAAATCGATACTTAAATAAATTTTCATATTTTATTTATTATCAAAAAAAAACAAAGAAACATAGAAATTTTTACAAAAATATCTGACATCTTTTTCATAAACAAATAAAAATTATTTTTAATTCATTACAAAAAAAACGTTCATAATATATTTCCAGTCAAAAGTTACTAAAAATTATCCCCAAATTTTATATTCAAATCATTATTTTTTATATTTCATTTTTAACCAATCAACAATAATTGATTGTCATTTCTACACAAAAACATTTTAATTTTTAATAATTAAACAAGTACTAATTATAAATTATACAATCATTAATAATAAATTGCATAAAGACAGTATGTATTAAATATTTTATCTTTTTTAGATTTAAATGCTGAATTATGTACATTAAAAACAGAGCCCAGTCCGCGGGCCGGGCAAAAATTTAACAGGCCGGGCAATTCATACATAATAAATAAAAGGGCCGTGCTTGATATTTAATATATATAGAGATCTGCAAAGTTAGGTCTGGCCCGTATTTAAAATAATCGGGTTCGGGCCGGGCCGGGCCTAATATTTAAAAAAAAGTCGGGCCGGGTCGGGTCGGACCTTGGAATTTTTTTTAAATATATCTTAATTTATCAATTTTATTGAATTTTTTATGTAAAATAAAAATATTTGATTTTGTTTATTGAAACTAAACGACATATAACATATGTCTTTTATTTTGAGTAATTATAAAAATTAATTTCTATATTTAAATAAATTCAGACCGGGCCAAGTCGGTAAATTTTTTTAAAAAAAATTTCGAGTTCGGGCCGAGCCGAGCCGGCAAAACTTTTTTAAAAAATTTCGGGTTCGGGCCGGGCCGACAAAACTTTTTTTAAAAAAATTTAGGGCCGGGCCGGCTTGAAAAATTAGGCCCGATGCAGATCACTAATATACTATATAAATCGAGCCTTTAAATTTTGATATATTTTTTTGAATCTCAAGTTAATATTTTGTTTGATTAATAAATTAATTAAAACAAACCTGTTTCCTTATAGCTAAATAATGTAGAAAATTCATAAAAAATTAAAGCGATATTAAAAAAATTGATTTATAAAACGATTGTAATAGATAAGATAGCAATAGAGTAGGGATATACGAACCATTTGACATTGGGAATTAGATATAGATAGACATTAAAAATGTGCTGGCAGGAAAATTCGTCTGAAAAAATTATGTCGGCCCTTGACGGGTCGAACAAACATTTAAATAACAAGTCGGGAAACTTGTACAAAAAATCTTAACCTGTCGAATAAAAAATATGGTAAATATTAGATAAGAGCAGGAATATAAATATAAATAAGCATAAGATAATTATGATATAAAAATTCAAATGTAACAGAGCTAAAAAGGGCAATAATATTGTATTAAAAAACAATTTTAAAATGAAAAATTTATTTAGGCCATTTCCAGACAGAACGTTTTTTTAAAGCGGTTTTTTGATAATGCTACCGTAATTTTTTATTTCCATACAAAGGATACTAGCTTGTCTAATGAATTTTTTATATGATGTAATATTTTAAGAAAAATAATCCGAAGTCACATTTCAAGACGCCATTTAATCGTTATTAAAATCAAATCAGTTTGTTTTCTATTTACGATTAAAAAAATGGGGATCTGTATTGTTTTTTTTAAACATTATATTATATAAAAATATTAATTGGACAAGGTAGTATCCTATGCCTGGAAATAAAAAAAAATGCTGGTAACATCACCTAAAAACTGCTTTGAAAAAACGTTCTGTCTGAAAATAGCTTTATATTAGAATGCTTTTATTTAAATTTTATCAGCACTTAAATTGATTCGGTTTTTATACTATTTTAAAAAGTATTCAAAATTTTTTTTATGATTTTATTGATAAGTTATATAATATGATTTTTATATGCCTCTGAATAGTGTTGTTAAACGGCTTATTTTGAACCGATTTTTAAAATCGGCTAACTCAATATTTTATTAGTAAAAATATAATGCAAGCCTTAAGATTTTGATCATATGTGGCATAACGGTTTGAACATAGATTAACGAAATCTTCTGGCTAGAATATTGAGTTAGCCGTTTTTAAAAATAGACTCAAATAGAGCCGTTTAATAACACTACCTCTGAAACTTGGCTTATTTACCTTTTTACTGTATCTCCAATGCCATCGCAGACGTTATTCACATGAGCTGTGTATGGAAAAAAATTTCAATGTCAAGATTATAATAACATATTTTTGAGAAATTTTTACAATTTTTATACTGGTAGACTGGCTATCCCCCTTCATTTAAATTAAGTTAAAAAATTTCCAGAAATAACGATTGTTGGGTAGATATAAATAAGTGGGAACTCAATAATATTATAAGTTTCTCTAAAAAATATCTATTTGGTAGATCACTTACGACTCATTGTTTAAACGTTACATCAATTCTATTCATTTCTAACAAATCAAATATTTGTCTTTTTATATCTTGGACATTGATCACAATTACCAAAATAATATTTTGGTTGGAAAGGATTGCAAATAATCTGTGCCAAGATATGTTTGAATGACTTTATAATATATTCATCTTTATTTTGCTATACTTATTTTTTGCTTATCTATTAAAATTAGGTGCTCAAGGTCAAGTGGCTGGTATAGCCTTCATTTAAAAAAATTATAGTTAATTCTCTGAATCAAAAAAAAAGCATCTTACTAAAAGAACAATTTTTCCTTTCCAGAAAAACAAATTGTGAGAAGTTTAATAATCGCAACAAATTTAAGTGATTTCACCATCTTATAAATTATTAAGGGTGAGTTGTGAGGTATATGATTTGATATGTAATTCTATTACGACCTGGTACGAGGTCAGTAAATAGTCACTAACTAAAAAGGTATTTTTAGCACACTATATGCACATAAAGCAGCCAACCAATCTAATGTTTAAAAATTATTTTAATGGTTAGTTTGGCTCGTTATTTATTTTAATGCATTTTTACTAAAACTATGAAATAAAAAAAATGATTTTTATTGAAGTCTGCTCTGCCCAGCTCGCCCGAAAAATATTTAAAATTGCCCTATCTATTGATTTAAAAATATTTTTTTACTTGATTTGAGCCAATTTTAAAAAACGGCAAACTCAAAATATTATCCAAAAAATTTTAAACAAGCCTGAAAATTTGATCATATATGGCACAAACGTTTGGACATCTATTAGCGAAATCTCGAGGCCTAGGCTATATTTTTCTGGCTAAAATATTGAGTTAGCCATTTTAAAAATAGGCTCAAATCAAGCCTTTTAACACTACGCCTCCGTTATTAAACCTCTACAAGTTCCTCATTAATTGTAAGCATAAAATAATAAATCACTTGAACAGCTCTTTGTTAAAATATCCGAGAAAAATTTCCCAACCAAATGAAATTTGTATTAAAATAGGATATACACATACTTAGGTCGGCCCTTTTTATAATATACCGCAAAAATATTGTAAGTTAAAAGAAAAAAAAAAAAATTGAACCTGAAAGACGTCAATTCGACTCGTATATTGGGATCAGAACTGAGCCTAGGTATGAGGGAAAGATGGGATATCTGAACGCAAGCCCACCCGAACTGGAATACAATTATTAAGGGAACGTAATATATCATTTTGACCCATTGAGGCATAGCATGGAGGTAGGCTATCAACATAGAAATGCTATAATTGAAAGTGGAAAAGGCAGGAGTAAACATGGAAAACCCCAGATGAGGCATGAAGATTAACGGGGGAGGTGAAAATATGAAGGCGAAAGACAGGGTCACACAAATGGTTCCTACAATATATTACATATTTAATATTTATTTTGATTGATTGTTATAATTAACAAAAAATTTGATATGAACTCCTCTTAGAAAGAAATGCCCGATTAAAATTTAAATATATCGTCGACTGATTATTTTCGTGCTCCAGCAATTTTATTTTAATTTTATTATAGCTCTCCTGTAAAATTATATGTTGAGATAGAAGGCTATAATAATTTAAAATTTTAGAAATCGTGTTTAGTTTTGGGGTCATTTAATGCATTTGCGCTTGCAACCGAGAAGCGGTTATAATATAATATTCAAACGGGAAAAAAAAATCCTTGAATATATTTTGTTTTTAGAATTATTTTTTGCATTTAATTGCATGCAGCAAAGATAGTGTAAAAAGATTTTACTTATAATTATTTAATTCATAGTAAAATCAAGATACATGCATTTTACATTTTGTAGATTTTCACGCATTGTTCAAATATTGACTTAGGACAACGTTGAATTCGAGATATTAATTTTTTAACTAACCTCTATTAAGTGCATAAAAATGGTAAAATAGTTTTAAAATTTTAAGGAATGAAGGATGGATTTGCTAAAACTATCATTTATTTACTAGCTAATAACCCGTCAAGAATGATGGGGTTGAGGGGTAATTAGTTAGTTTTTCTCCCTACTTTTATGATAGTTGTTACCTGTTATTTGAAAATAATATCTTTTTATTCTTTACAACCCGCTCCCTCTTTCAGGCCAGGTCCCCAGGCTTGCAAAAAAAATTTGTTTTAGATCAATGTCTGGTCCATAGATATTAGAATTTCCAAGCATCCAAGCTGATAATAATTTTAAAAAATTTTCCCTAAGCCTAGTCCAATATAATTCATAAAAATATTTTCCAAGCCCAGCCCCACCCATAATAATTTTAAAAAATTTTTCTCAAACCTGGCCAACGCGTAATAATTTTGAAATTTTTTTCTCAAGCCTGGAGATAGGTAAATCTCTAAAAACCATAATAATTTTTTATTCTTTTTATTCCAGCTCAATCCTACTTCAGACCAAGACCCACTCATTAGGACTAATAGTGAATACTATTTTTTGAGTAAAAATATATTTAAATTAGCTTTTACCTGAGACCCATATAAATATTATGCCTAATATCGGTATCCCGTCTTTACAGAGAATCTTTTATAGAGAATGCAAATATAGAGAAACCTTTATAGAGAAAACAATTGTAGAGAATGTCGTTTATAAAGAATATCGTTTATAGAGAATGATTTTATAGAGAATTTATTTTATAGAGAAACTTTTAAAGAGAAAACAATTTTAGAGAATGTCGTTTATAGAGAATCTCATTTATAGAGAATGATTTTGTAGAGAATCTCGTTTACAGAGAATGATTTTGTAGAGAATCTCGTTTATAGAGAATGATTTTATAGAGAATTTATTTTATAGAGAAACTTTTAAAGAGAAAACAATTATAGAGAATGTCGTTTATAGAGAATCTCATTTACAGAGAATGATTTTATAGAGAATGTCTTTTATAGAGAATGATTTTATAGAGAATAATTTTGCAGAGAATTGTTTTACAGAGAATTATTTTACAGAGAATTATTTTACAGAGAATTGTTTTAGTGCGAATTATTTTATAGGGAAGGATTAATAATTTTATATTGAAGACAGAGAATGATTTTATAGAAAATGAATTATTTTAGAAATAAATTTTCTCAAATATGACCATTTACCGTCTAATTCTTTTTTTTTGGCACTTATTAAATCAGATTTAATCTAATATAATTTATTAAAAATATATTTAAGGATATTTATTTGGAAAATCTACTCAATAAGAAGCTAAGGATATTTAATCTGGAAAATCTACTCAATAAGAGGCTAAGGATATTTAATCTGGAAAATCTACTCAATAAGAGGCTTTGAGTTTTTTTTTAATTACAATGTAGAATATTTTATTATTATATATATTTGATGCGAAATATCAAATACATTTAGAAAAGGAAAACATCAAGCTTAAAAAAAATTTCCAAAAAAGCAATGTCCTACACCTTCACTTGGAAAGCAATAAGATAAGTTAGAAAAATTAAGTTATTCACAAAAATAAATAATTACTAAGTTAGTAATAATCTTAATAACTTAACATTTTATTGCATAAATTCTTTATTCAAATTTTTTCGATCAAATAAAATTAATTCAAAATAGTTCCATAATCCAAAATATATAATTTTTATTCATAACAAATGCATATATACATTATAAATATAAATTTAATTATATAATTTAAAAATATAATTTAAACATTTAAATTAATATTGTGAGACAATGCCCTTAGGTAATCTAACATGGGCCTTGAATAGTAATCTTCGACTATTCTATATACCCGTTGAGCTCTTTCCCGATATTGTTTCTTTGAGAGTGGGGCCAATAGTCCCAAAGAATATTGCTCTAATTTATAGCAATTAAGGCTATCTTCATCTTTGAGAGCTAAAAATTAAATAAGATTTTTAAAATATTTTAATATAATATATATTTCATACTTTTGATAAATTTCCAAATGGTTGGATGATGGGAACTTATATGGGAAGAAAAACTCCGGTGCCAACCTTCTACTGCATTGTTGGTATTTGGAGCTCGCAACAGAGTGGAATCATAGCAATTCCATAATGAAATACTAAACAATGGGGATCTCCTCTCCATTGCTATCATTTTGCCTATCCATGTCTCCTCGAAGTATTCTATCAAAGGTTGGAGAATATCCCGCCTTTCTTGATAGAATTCGGAACCAACCAGCACCTCGAATCCATGGATTATGTCATCCACTGGCACATATGCCAGTGATAATAACATCTTAATTTGTAAAGCAAAATTAGGCTCTGTCATATATGACATACAAATTATTGAATTTTTTTGAACGGCACGCCATATGCATTGAGACATGTGGAAGAAACATCCACGGTTATCAGCCAACGGAAAAGATTGGTTGAAAGCTGATATGGCTGCCAATTCAAAGTCTGTCATTATAGACCTAGGATCAAGATGAATTTCGAAATTTTTAATTTTTTGGAAAATATTTAAATAATCTTGATGGCGACGCGACGCCATAAGGATATAAACGGCAGGAATAATCGTGTCGTATTTCATTCCATGGATGGTATAGATTTGTTGAAAGAGTGGAGGGCATGTTTTGAAGGTGCCATCTGCGTACCATTTGTCGCACGTTGATAGGAACTGTATATTTTTCACTGTTGAAAATATTAGGCATCGATGATCATGGTGACCGCTATCATATAATAAAAATTGTTGCCCGTTATTATTTATTTGATATTCAATAGGGATTATTAGGTCAATTAAATTAACAGGAACAGTAGGCGCCCTTCCTACTAGGCGTCGTTTTCTTTGAATTGTTCTTTTGAGTAAGGAACAACTTGGCATTCTCCCCATAGCTGCTGTAGATATATTGGTTGTTATATCCGCTATTATATTATTGGGTAGAGTTTGCGAGGTAGTTGCCTTTTCCTTTATTTGATTTATTTCTTTCCTTGCTTCAATTTCGGCAATGTCTGGAACATGATTATGCATTTGATTATGAAATATAACTCCAGATTTTGTCCTTGCCCTTCCATTGCACTCCTCCAAGTGGAATTTAACACAACGCCAATAACTTGTATCGTTAATAAGCTTTTCTCGTTGAAATATAAATGATTCAAAAATTAGTAATTGATTGTTTTGACTGCTTAAAATAAATTCAGCCATTAAAATTTATAAGTTCTTTAAAAAAAATTTAGATTTCAAAATTAATGATAATTTTTCTTAAATCCTATTATATATAAAATAAAACTTAAATAATTGTAAGTTTAAACTTTTATTATAATTTTTATTTATTTGTATTTTCATAGAGCAAATCTCAATCAAATATAAAATTTTTTTATTTCCATTTTATTTTTAGATTTTTTTTTCTCAACAAGAATTATATTTGTCCATATTTTCTATGTTTTATATTTTTACATAAAAAAAAACAAGACAGACGCCGTCATATAAATTCTCGGAACCCTTGAATAAAAAAATAGTAAAAAATAATCTTAAAAAAAATTATTCACGTTCCTGATTTGCAATTGCTTATGAATAATTATGATTAGTGTTGTTAAACGGCTCGTTTTGAGCCGATTTTTAAAAACGGCTAACTCAATATTTCATCCAGAATAGTATTACGCAAGCCTGAAGATTTTGTTTGTAGAAGGAATAAAGGTTTGGACATCTATTAGCGAAATCTCGAGGCTTAGGGAATATTTTTCTTGCTAAAATATTGAGTTAGCCGTTTTTAAGAATCGGCTCAAAACGAGCCGTTTAACAACACTAATTATGATAATATTTTTAAGTTTCCTGTTGTTATTTTTTTTAAAATACGCTGAACAATTAGAAGTAGTAATGTTAAAATTATGAAAATATTTCCTTCTTTATCGCCTCTTATTGAGTAGATTTTCCAGATTAAATATCCTTAGCCTCTTATTGAGTAGATTTTCCAGATTAAATATCCTTAGCCTCTTATTGAGTAGATTTTCCAAAACTTTTATTATAATTTTTATTTATTTGTATTTTCATAGAGCAAATCTCAATCAAATATAAAATTTTTTTTATTTCCATTTTATTTTTAGATTTTTTTTTCTCAACAAGAATTATATTTGTCCATATTTTCTATGTTTTATATTTTTACATAAAAAAAAACAAGACAGACGCCGTCATATAAATTCTCGGAACCCTTGAATAAAAAAAAGGAAAAAATAATCTTAAAAAAAATTATTCACGTTCCTGATTTGTAATTGCTTATGAATAATTATGATAATATTTTTAAGCTTCCTGTTGTTATTTTTTTTAAAATACGCTGAACAATTAGAAGTAGTAATGTTAAAATTATGAAAATATTCCCTTCTTTATCGCCTCTTATTGAGTAGATTTTCCAGATTTAATATCCTTAGCCTCTTATTGAGTAGATTTTCCAGATTAAATATCCTTAGCCTCT